CATCATTGTTTATATAATAGTAAAAATATGGAAATAACCTAAGTGATCACTAATATTTATTAGTTAGCTTTTCATTGCTGTGACCAAAATACCTGACACAACTTGGAGAAAGATGTTTATTTTGGCCCATGGTTTCAGAGGTTTCAGTACACAGTCAGCTAGCTCCATTGCTCTGGGCATGAAGTGAGGCATCATGGGTATCAAAATCTGGTCAGCTCATGGCATCCAGAAGCAAGTGTGGGGTGTCAGGAACAAGATACAGTCCCCAAGGGCACGCCCCCACCCCCCATGACCTGCTTCCTCCAACCATGCCCCCTTTTGCTATAGTTTCTACCATCTCCCAGTTGTCTGTACAAATTATAAATCCATCAAATGAATTAATCCACTGATGGAAGTTAGAATCTGCATGATCCAATTATTTCCTAAAAGCCCCACCTCTGGACATTGCTGCATTGGGAACAAAGTCCATGCATGAGCTTTTGGGGGACATTCTAGATCTAAACCATAACAAATACAATATTAGTTAAGTAAAATAGAATATATTAATATAACAGTGGTATAATAGTTGCAAAAAGTTAAACAGATCAGAAACAGAAAAAAGGATCAATGGAACAGAATAGAGTTGTTAAACAGACACTATTTAGTATGTATTATAGAGTCATTTTAAAACAATAGAAAAATGGATTAGTGAATAAGTGTTACGAGACAACTGGCTGCCCACTCTCCTTATCTAAAGCCATTCACAAATACTTTGAATCCAGATGAATTGAATAATTCAAACAATTAAAATAAAATATGAGGGAATATATCCTATAAACTTGGTATAGGGAAAACTGTCTTAAACACACACAAACACCACATCTTATACAACCAGAAGAATGGGAAGTTGTTCTCCATGTATATATAATATGTCAGAATACATTCTACTGTCATATATAACTAAAAAGAATACATACACACACATACACACACACACACACTCAGTATTAAGGAAAAGAGTGGTGATATAAAACAAAACTTCTATGAAGACACCATTAGGAAAGCCAAAAGACATTCATAGCCTGCAAGATATCTGCAACATAACTTCAGATAAAAGATTTGTGTGAGAATGTGTGTGTGTGCACGCACGAGCATACACAAAAATCCATTCACTTGAACAGCGAACAATCTAAAAGAAAAATAGGTTAATTATATAAATAGGCAGTCCATAGAGGAGGAAATATAAATACCCAACTGATATGTGGAAATAAGCAAATTATACCCTCCTATGCAATGGAAATTTTATCCAAGTGATAAAAATGTAAGGCTTGAAAACATCAAGTGCTAGCAAGGGTGTGAATGAATAGTTATTCTCATATGCTACAAGCCAGAGTGCAAACTGTCACTGACATTTTGAGAGGCTATTTAACAGCATTAATTAAATGGAAATTGGCATACTTTATGGCCCAGAGATTCCATTTCTAAGGACCCACCCTAAAGAAACATTCACAAATGTGTACAAGGCCATTCACTGAAGCTATATATACGTAATAGAAAAAATATAAAACACCCAAATTTCTATCAGTAGGAGCAGAAACTATAATATCCTGGCCCTACTGGAGTTAAAAAACAAGCCAGGGTAAATCTCTAAATATAGACACACATTGAAGACAGTCAAGTGATATTCATAAGTTTAATAAAAGTTTTGGGTAAATGCAGAATAATATTATAAACAAAGTCAATTCTAAATGCTTCTTAATATATGTATGTAAATGCATAGAGAAAGGTTTAGAAAATAACCACCGAATTGCTAACAGTTAACCCATTAGAGGGGATTGTGGGATAAGGGACAGTCAAGGTGGGGGATTAGCTTTATCTATATTGTTTGAATTTTTAAAAGTAAGGTTACATTCACTTATTAACTTATGTAATTTAAAGTGAATACAATTTATAAAACTATTATACAAATTTATAAATTCTATAATWGAGACATGTGAAAAGGCCTGTGGGAACATATTGAAAGGAGATATAGTATATAAAAAAATTTTGTAGCAGTGCTGACATTTTCACTGGGCCTTGCTTTTTTGAATAGGATTTTGTCAAGCATGTATAATTCGGTGGAAGATTATGACAGATTATATTTTCCAAAAATGACTGTGGCAATGTACATCCCATCCAATATGTTTTTCTTTTAGTATGACACTGACATTCCTCCATGGAGAGGTGGAGGTTGATAGTCCCTCTCCCTTGATGTTGGGCGGGTTTGTGTGATTTCCTTGATCAACAGAATGACTTCAAGTATCACAGCATGACTTCCAAGATTATTTGGCTCCTAGTGGGTCCTCACTACCAATGCTGTGAGGAAACTCAAACTAACCCCTGTGGAAAGACCACACGAAGAGACTCATGTGGAGAGGAACTGAGGCCCCCAGCAGAGAGCCAGCAGCAACTGTCARATGCGTGAAAGAGCAGCCTTCAGCTGATCCCTGTCCCAGCATTGGAATCCCCCAGCTGAGGCTCAGATACACATCATGGAGCAGAGACAAGCCAACCCTACTGTGCCCTGTCCTAATTCCAGACCCAGAGAATCCAGGAGCAAAATAAATGTTTCTTTTACATTACAAAGTTTTAGGGTAATGTTACATAGCCAAGGTAACTGGAACAAACGKTCTAAAGAGAAGAAACTCCATGAGTAATGGAGTGTCACAAAGCATAGTGAATATTGACAGTTTTGGGTGATGCCCAGAAAGATTGAACCAGATGATGAAAGTTTTATATGACAGTATAAAAAAATCAAGACTTATCCTTTGGCAGTAGAGAAATGCTGAAAGCTTTTAAGCTGGGAAGTGAAATGCTAGGATCTGCATTTTAACAAGACCGGTGTCAAGGAGAGACTAGAGAAAAAAAAGAATTAAAAAYAGGAAAAGYCCCTATTTTATTTGGTCCTGACAAGTAAAATGGTGGAAGCATCCCTCAGGCAATGTGTTTTGTGACCTTTTTCCTCTGTAGGGTGGGTTGACTTTGATGCTCATATATATTCAATTTCACTTGTATTAAATGTTAGGGAGAAAACTTATGTTCACCCAAAAACCTGTTTCAAATGTTTAAAAGCAGCTTTACTCATAATTGCCAAAACTTGGAAGTAACCGAGATGTCTTGCAGTAGGTAAATGAATAAATAAACTGTGGTACATTCCTACTGAGCACTAAAAAGAAATGAGCTATCAAACCATAAAAAGATGTGGAGGAACCTTAAATGCATATTACTAAGTGAAAGAAGTCAATCTGAAAAGGCTACACATGATTCCAATTCTATGACATTACAGAAAAGAAAAAAACTATAGAGACCATAAAAACATCAGTGTTGCCAGGGGTGGGAGGAGGGAGGGATGACTAGGCAGTACACAGAGGATTTTTAGAGCAGGGGAACTCCTTTGTAATGATACTGTAAAAGAGTATGCATATCATTTGTTCAACCCCATAGAAGCTTCAGTAAATTCTAATATAAACTGTGGACTTAAAGAGATAATGGTGTGTTGATGTAGGTTCATCAATTATAACAAATGTACCACTCTGGTGTGTTACACTGATGGTGGGGGAGGCTATACCTAAGAGGAGAAAGGCATACATGAAAACTCTACTCTCCACTCAGTTTTGCTGTGACTCTAAAACTGCTCTTAAAGTCTATTTTTTAAGTTTTAGCAGGGAAAAATATTAGGCTAAATTAGAAAATCAAACAATTTCCTTACTTGTTCTTTCAAGCTTCTGATTTGAGATCTGTTTACTTTGTGTGTGTTATAAGGATACTAAGCAAACTGTCTACTATATTATAATCATTTGTAACTAATTATCCATGAGCATGCCAGCCTTATGCAAATATCATACCATACCATAAACCCTGATTTGTTGGTTTTGTGTTATTAAAATATGCACGCTGTTCTCACAACTGGCTTTGTAAGAAAACTTTATATAAATGTGAACTTGTAAAATCAGTGTATACTAATATATTACAGCTTTTATATTTTGAATAATGAGGCTCTATATAAAGTGAAAGTTTGAGATGCATGGTCCAAGAAGATGGAGAAAATGGGACTCAAAACATGTAATAAGGGAAAGGCTGTCTGGATGAACACAAAAGCAAAAAAAAAAAAGAAAATGAAAGGCACTAATGATATTGTTCCACTCTCATCTGGGCAGACCTTCCACCTACTTTCTGAGAAAATGAAGAGGAAATACGTATTGCAAATTGACAGTTCATGAAGAACATACAGGATGAAGTGGCTCAATTGGTGATCAGATCCTATAGGATCTAGAGGAGCAGCAGAGCCCAGCTGAAATGCAATAATATAATTTATTTGAGGCTAGTTTTGTATAATTTTATATTGTGCCTTTTTCTAATGTTATTTATTCTAGATGATTAGCCAATTTGTGGGATAGATAAGCATCTTGGCTTTTCACTTTTTGTTTAGTTTTTGCTTTTGAAAGATGTCATAAATTAAACTCCATCAAAAGTAAGTTAATGAGCCGGGCGTGGTGGCACACCATGAGACCGAAGCAGGAGGATCATTAGTTCAAAACCAGCCTCTGCAAAAGCAAGGTGCTAAGCAACGCAGGGAGGCCCCGTCTTTAAATAAAATACAAAGTAGGGCAAGGGATGTGGCTCAGTGGCCAAGTGCCCCTGGGTTCAATCCCTGGTACCACCCCACAAAAAAGTTAATGAAAGTAAGAAACTAAAATTAATTTTCTGCTTTTTTAAAACCATTCATAAAATATTCAAGGTGTGTAGTCATTTTTAAAACAACAAAGAAGAAAAAAAGTGAAGGAAAAACATTGAAACAATGGATAAAATAAGATTATAGGACTATGTGTGTATTGAATACTAATCCTGTTCTTCATTATCAACATTAAATAAAGTCAACTATTGCTATATTTCACCAAATAAAATTTTTATTTATATAGAATTCCTCCTGGTGTTTCTTGGTCATGTTTTGGAATAAACTACATATTCCTTAGCCAAATTACCTGCATCCCAGAGACTGTAAACTTCTGCTTGTCCTTCTGACAACCACCTAGATGAAGAGATAATGGAAGGAGGTAGTGTTGGCTTTGGATCCTCATCATAAAATCGCATCAGGTCCTGACAGAGAATGAGAGAAAGCATGACAATTGGGGAAAAAAATTAATCATATCCCAGATAGTGACATTGATACAGTCAAAATATAGAACATTTCCAACCCAATCAAGAGGATCTTCCTGAGGCTCTTTCTTAGCAATACCTGTCCCTAACCATCCCTATGCATCTGTTCTTCCTTTCTGTAAGTATGACTTTAAAGACCATTATATAAATGGAATCCTACAGTATTCGACCTTTTAAGGTTGTTTATTTTTAACATGGCATAATTCCTGATGATTCATCCAGATTGTAGTGTGTATCCATAGTTCCTTTCTTTTCATTGCTGAGCAGTAKTCATGGCATGGATGTTTGTTTTTAAATTTTTTTAGTTGTAGATGGACACAATGCCTTTGTTWATTTATTTTTATGTGCTACTAAGATTAAACCCAGTGCCTTACACGTGCTAGGCAAGTGCTCTGCTACTGAGCCACAGCCCCAGCCCCTATGGCATGGATGTTTAACCCAGTGAAGGACATCTGGGTTTTTCTACATTTTAGCTATTCAAAAAAGCTTCTGTGAATATTTGTATACAAGTTTCTGTAAGATATAAATAAATTTTCATTCTCTAGAATAAATGCCTACAAGTGCAACTGTTGGGTTATATGGAAGTCACATATTCAGTTTCATAAGAAATTGACAAATTGCTTTCTAGCAGTTTTTCATTCCTACTAGTTATGAATGTGTGATCAAATTTCTCCACCAGCATTCGGTGTTACCACCTTTTTTTATTTTGCCATTTTGATATGTCATTGTGTGTTTATATTTTCCTAAAGGCCAATGATGTTGGACACCTATTAATGTGTTTGTTTACCACATGTATTTGCTGAAATGAATGTTCACATTATTTGCCAATTTTCTAATTTCCAAATTGCTGAGCTTTTTTTTTAATCAATGAGTGCCAAATTTGTTAATGCTTTACTGCATCAACTGAGACCATCTTATATTTTTTCTTTAGCTTGTTGACATGATGAATTACATGAGTTTACACTGATATACTTACAATTCAAGTGTATTCATTTATTGCAATGTCTTCTAACATTCATATCTCCTGTTCCCCATGATGAGAATTCTAGTTCTTAAGGATAGTAAAGACAATATTTGGTTCATCAAATATTATACTCACAATAATTTCAGAGCAAAAATGCCAATATCACAGAACAAAAACACCAACTGAACTCAAGGAGCATATTTCTTTACTTTTATTTTACATTTTTAGGTATTACTTTTAATTTTAGAATTAAGTAAAATCTTCTTAGGTTTCCAGAGAAAAATCTAAAAACAAGATCTATTTGGTGAGGGGATTTGGAAGCTGGTAGAGAGGATCTAGGTAGCAATCCTCAACTCCYCCACAGCCCAGAAATGAAGCAGCAAAAGAAAAGCTTACCAAGAAAAGAAGAGAGAGGAAAAGGCCATAAGCTTATTTCCTTAACAACAATTTGAAAGAAGAGCAGAGCAAGTTAAAACAGGGCAGGAGCAGCAAAGACGGTGAAGGACGGCACACAGTTTAGCCCAAATTGCCGGCAGAAAGCTGTGCCGCGCAGGGCAGCCACTGTGTAGAGTTCACAGCCGGCCACCTCCCTAGAAGAAATCAAATCAACACAGCTTCTCCCCACCTATAGATATACAACCACAGATAATACTTCTGAAATGTGTCGTCTCAGTAATCCATCTAGAGGGAACGTGTAGAGGGATTGCTGCTAGCTGACAGCTATGAATCCCCTTCACCAAGGACAAGGGGAGTAGGGTAGAACTGACTGAAGAGCTAACCACTCCTGGGCAGTGCCAGCCCCAACCCAATGCTCCCCACAGCCTCCACCAGAGCTCAGGCAAAGATGAGCCAATAATGCCCCATGCCTGTCACAGTGATGGGTAAAACCCAGGTGATGTACATCATCCAGGGTGGAGGCTTCTGTGCCACAGTTTGCTCACAGAAAGTCTGCTTGTATAGGCCCCACAGTCGTAGACAACCACTGTGCTCTGTGCCATTATAAAGAAATCCCTGTGGAGGGGAGTAGAGGCTCAGTCAGTAACAGCTCTGATTACTGCACCTTGTGCCTCCCACACCCAACAGAAACCAGAAGCAGATGCAGCACCCTCAGGCACACAGACTTGTGCCTCTAGGCTGACAAACAAGCACTGGCTGGTGAGAAAGCCACAGCAACCAAGGAAGTAGCCCTAGTGCCTCAGCACCTCTAGTAGAGTACATGCTGTGGGGCCCAGAATTTCTAGTTAACTCAATTCCTACTCAAACTCAGACCCACAGAGGGCATTTCCTGAGCATAACCCGATGCAGCCAGCTGAGAACTTCAGTGCATACACAAAGGCACTACACTCCACAAAGCTACTTTCAGAGAAGCATCTCACAGACACCTGTCACTGCCCAGTGTGCATAGATACAAGCCTATTGACCCATGACCTGTACACTCCAGAGGAAGCAACAGGGCCTACACTTCTCCATGGGCCATCCAGTGCCATATCAACCACACTACAATACTTCTATCTTAGGCTACCACATGCTGCATACTGCAAAGCATACATAGGGGAGACCACACTGAATTTAACAGTGCTGGATATGTGGAACTTTTACTCAAAAAGGCATACYAGAGTGTACCCTGCCTGTTAAATCACAAGTAGAGACCATCTCCTGTGACCCAACAGAAAGCTAATAGGTCCCCGGACACACAAAGATTGAAGGACGCCTCCAAGAATTCTACCAGAGGTGAACTGGTGTAATCATTACCTCCATACCCAGGGAGATGTAGAGGTAAAGCTGAGGAGTGATGGGCATCTTCCAAAGGTTCCAAATCCTGATGGAAGACTCAATAAGAAATCTCCCTTCTTTGGCAATGGAATATCATAAATGTCTCTAATGTCAATTTTGATCATTTGGATACTACTTTTCATACTGAATTGACAAATGTTCCAGTATGAAACAATGATGCAGTATGAAATAAAATATTGCTTCCCTCAACCCATTCGAATGTATTTCATCTAATGTTTTAAAACATTAACTGCAATCATTTGATTTTGCTTCCAAGGGCAGGTTTATAATTGCTCTTCTCAGTCTCTTTTCCCTCTTGAATTACCTGCTCCTGCCTCAAATCCCCCATTCCCTGATGTACTGTTTTCTTCTTTTTATCTTCGTTTGTATTTTTCTATATTTTCTTTTCTTTTTTCCCTTTGCCCAATTTTTCTCCTCTTCCCTTGTCATATCTATATAGTATAATAATAATTTTCCTAATAATTCATTACTCAACCTATCCAAAAATATTACTATAAYTTTATACTTGGATTAGAGGAAAATGTAGAAGATTTTCAATGTTTTTCCCCCATGTATGAATGTTTCCCTAGATCATGGCTTTGCTCTAAAGTGAATGTAGTTGACAGGATTTAGTATCTTCTCTCAAAGTGGTGCTGACACTGAGCATAGCAGAGGATACACACCGAGTGGAGTCTCAATGCTTGGATATCTGCCAGCTTGGGGCACTTAAGAGAAACAAGCTCACTAATAATCCCTTGCATAAAAGTAGAATAGATAATAATCCCAGTAGATGTACAAATAATATGAAAAAACAAGGGAACAAGCCATCTCAAATAGCCTACAACACTCAACAACTGATCCAATTGCCACCAGAGGAAGAAATGTCAGATAAAGAATTTAGAAAGTTAATATTTAATATGTTCAATGAACTCAAAGAAGATGTAAGGAATGAACTAAGAAAATACAGGAAGTGAAAAATTTTTCAATAGAGAGAAAGACTCTTTAAAAGAATCAAACAAAAATCCTGGAAAAGAGTCAATTAAATCAAATAAAAAATTCAATTGAAAGAATCACCAATAGATTAGACCACAAAGAGAAAAGATTTTCAGGCCTTGAAGACAAAGTATAAAATCTTTTTAAATTTTTTTTATATTTTAGTTATAGGTGGACGCAATATCTTTAATCTATTTTATTATGTGGTGCTGAGGATTGAACCCAGGGCCTCATGCATGTGGCTCTACCTCTAAGCCACAACCCCAGSCCCAAGTATATAATTTTGAGGTAAGTTCCTGTTATCCCTAGTTTTTCAAGTGTTTTGAACATAAAGGGATGCTGTACTTTGTCGAATGCTTT